TGTTGTCATTTGTCTTTCTTTCTATATTAACGACTCCCTTATTGTATTTATTTCTATGCTAGGGCTACTAAGGAGGTCCTTATAGTCTAGCATATACTTCCAGATCTTTAACTACCCTATTCTAATTGAATACAAAGTAGGCTCGCAATGAATCAAACGCAGAGGATCAATTTAATTGCTGATTGGTTTAAAAATTTGGAGATTCAACATCACAATGACCAATGAAAACTCGACACGTCTCTAATACAAAAGAGAATTTAAAATGGGTTCTTTACCAACTACATTTTAAACCTTCGAGATATTGTGGCCTTGTGTAAATCTTCATTAGATTTATATTACAGTTATTTTTATTGTATCTTTCGTCTTAGTTATTTTTTTTTTATTTTACATTATTTTTTTTTTTAACTTTCGATTTTATCCCATCTCTCTTACTGTTCTCTTCCCGCTTTGGCAAAGGAGCATATGGGGCAACAAGGACAAACAAAATATGGCGCAGATTTTCTCTGGTGGTGGTCGGGGAAATTTTGGCGCAAATGGAAGAATATAAGTATCTAAAGTATAAAGAACAGAAGAATGTAAAATTTACTAAAGAAGAACAACGCAAGAATTACTACCGGCAAAAATATATGCGAAACCCGATATGACGGAATCTGAAATCAATAAAAGAAGATAGGTTACATGTTTTTCGCGCCAAGATCGTCATCCATCATCCTGCTATCGCCTGCCTCAATCACGAAGCGGGAAACAGAAGGACCGTGGCGAGGGGCAAACAGGAGAAAAATGGCGATGTTTCCAACTAGACAATTTCATGATAAAGAATGGTGCTGAGTTGCAAAAAGGCGAAAATATCTGATACAATCTGACTCAATTAGAGTTGCAGTCGTTTTATGTGTGTGTTTGCGTGTCTGTGTGTATGTATGTATATTCTTTGTAGTTGTTTGTTGGGATACAAACAGCAAAATATTGTATAAATTTGCCGATTTTACTGCGAGCGTTTGGCTGTAGTTTAGCGTTGATTGGCTCCCGAGTGATTTGAAGAAAAAAAAAGGTAACTTTCAAAAGTTCAGTAACGAATGGAAGAAGCACTAAAAGCCAGCAGTTTTTTTGAATAAGCAGAAGGAAATTTGGTGCGATTTTTTTCTTAGTTTCTATATTTCTTCAGGCCGTTTGCCAAACACTCTAATGAAAGTAAACTATTGTATTTTTTTAATTATAAAATACTATAAACAACACAAAAACTAATCAATCTTTGCTGTATAGTTTACTATTTCAGACTAGTATCAGCTCTAATGTCATTTTGCTACACACTAAACTATCAAACTTACCAGTTCGTGGTAACCGGTTGGCTCAATCGACTCCGGATATATACCTCGGGATATTTTTTAATTCACCTAGCACTAGTAGCACAGTGTTACTAATCTAACTCACCCTTGAGTGTCGTTCCTTGCTCGAAGGTATGATCAGGATTTTTTTTATAGAAAGACCTCATGCAGTTCGTCCATCCTCTGCCTGCAATAGATAGGGGTCGATACTGCATATGCTTAAACCTTCTGAATATTGCACAAAACTATCGAAAAGGTTGCTTTGTAAGTGGCAACAAGTCATTGCAAATAACCGGGGAAATATAATTGAATAAAATGTAATGATCTCTGAAGAATAGTTTTGATAAACTGGTATGGTCCGGTTCCTTGTATCAAGGTGGTAGTCCGAGGAAGAACCAATAAAGAAGAACTCGAACACGGATATGGAATAACACAGATATATTACAAACAGGAATATATACAGAGAAGTAGAAAGTGTTAGTACGAACAATCAGGTTTAGTAGGGAGAACAATGTAGACTCGACCAGTATCAGTATTCCAATGTCTTGTAGTAATTGTCTGAACGCGACTCTGTTTCGGACTGCCTCTGACTCGACTGACTGACTCGCTCTGACTGACTGACAGACACCTGACGGACCTCACTCCAGACTTCAGACTGAACAGTATTTAGTCGCCCCGCTCCCACGAGGGCATCATGTGGCACAAGGCCGGTTTAACGTGGGATCTCCGAGCCCGTGGGCTCGGCCAAAAATATGCCTTTGGAACCCGTATAAACGGGTTCAGGGTCGGCTTACGTCCCCGAAAGAGCCTCCGCTCTTCGGCGTAGCCTCGTTCGGATTCTTTCCGGCCCGAAGGCAGTTCAACCGATCAGCCAGTCAGCCGGTCTCTCGACTTCAGACTGAACTCCCTGCTTCCTCTTGAGGCGCAGTATTTATTACGTATGGAATAGTCCATTATGTTATTATGGGTAAGGTCCCATAACATAAACATTAAAGGAAATTATTTATAACTCAACCTAAAAGAATACTGAGCCTTTACGTGACATCTGTCCTTTTTTACGGCAGCGAATTTTGAACGATTTCCTCAAAGAGGAAGACGAGCCTCGAGGTGACAGAGATATGGTTCTACAGAAGGATGCTAAGGTTATCATGGACCAAGCGTGTGAACAGTGATGAGGTGATGGAGAGGATACAAACAGGAAGGAGGCTTATACTTAACATCAGACAGAGGCAGCTGAAGTTTCTGAGACACATAATAAGGGATGAGGGCCTGGAGAATCTGATGCTCACGGGTCGAATAGAGGGAAAGAGAGACGAGAGAAAGCAGCGCGTGACATACCTGGCGGGCTTAAGCAGGTGAATGACAGAAGTTGGTCTGGGGAAGGAAGCAGAGGGAAGGAACTTGTTTGAGAGCTGCAAGGGATAGAAGGAGGTGGAGAGCCATGATCGCCTACATCCTGAAAGGACATGGTACTTAAAAGGAAAGAAAGGAAAGATAAAAAGGAAAGATAAACAAGGTAATGACATACCTAGGAGACTTAAGCAAGTGGATGACAGAACGTGATCTGGGGAGAGGAAGACATACCTAGAGGAAGGAACTTGATTTGGGGAGAGCTGCAAGGGATAGAAGGAGGTGGAGAGCCATGATTGCCTACATCCTGAAAGGACATGGCACTTAAAAGGAAAAAAAGAATAGATAAAAAAAGTATTATTTACGATATCGATGAACATGTTAACAGCATGCAAATAGAATATATATATATATATGAAAGAGACATAGCATAAAAAAGAATAGATCAAGAGATAGATATGAATATGTTAATAGCATAAGAAATATATATATATATATAAATATATATATATATGATACATATATATATATATGTATATATATCTATATATGTATATTTATGTATATATATATATGTGTGTTTATGTATGTATATATGTGTGTGTGTATATATATATATATATATATATATATATATATATATATATATATATATTTTCCTCAGTAATTATATAATTTTAAAGTTAATATAGATTAAATTCAAATTTTAAAATTGGTAATTCTTATTACAAATTTTATCGTATAACTTAATATTTATTAGATAGAACGAATTCTATTTTAGTCTGACCCTAACATTAAAGCATTAAATAATTATTATAACCAAAGTTCGTTGTCAAGTTATTTGAATTTTCATATACTTGAATTTTGATTGGTCATTGCAGCTTATGTAACAAAGATTCTTCTAGCGAGGGATGTTTGATTGATTTGAATCTTTTGAAACCCTTTATTATACATTCAACATCATCACTTGATAAGACACCAGAAATATCGAAACAAAATGGCCATTTTTTAGTGATTTTATAACATATTTATGTTATAATTTTCGAATAAATAATTATATTTGCTCTACTCTGTATTGAGCTCTCTTTTAAGAATAGTATTTGTTGGTTGTTGGAATTTATTCCGTACACAAATCCTATACTTGGGTATGCATATATATATATATATATATATATATATATATATATATATATACGTATGAATAAAAAGAGACAAGACGAAAAACTATATTTTGCCTAGGCGTTTCGTCCTTTGAGGAAGGAAAAACGTCGGCTAAGGATAGATTTTCCTCTTGTTTCTTTTTATTCATTGTGTCTCTTATACAGATTCACTCCATCTGAGAATATTTCCACTCACACACAGACACACAGATAACATTAATATTAATATGTATATCAATCAAACTGATATTAAAAATTCTATCTATCTATCTCTCTCTATCTCTCTCTCTCTCTCTCTCTCTATATATATATATATATATATATATATACAAGTATAGGATTGGTGTATACGGAATAAATTCCAATAACCAACAATTAATATTCTTAAAAGTCTGTTCAATACAGAGTAGAGCAGATATAATTATTTATTGAAAAATTATAACATAAATATGTATATATATATATCGCTACAAAAAATGGCCATTTTGTTTCAACACTTCTGGTGTCTTATCAAGTGATGATGTTGAATTCAACATCATCACTTGATAAGACATCGGAGGTGTTGAAACAAAATGGGTATTTTTGTAGTGATTTTATGACATATTTATGTTATAATTTTTAAAAATTAAATATATATATATATATATATATATATATATATATATATATTAGTAAGTTTTATTATTATTATTAGTATCATTATTATTTTTTTTTCTATATATCATCAATGATGTTCCCAATATCATCATTTTCAAACTTAGTATTTATTCAGATGACACTACCATTTACTCATGTCTCAATAGCAAATACGTCAGACATTTTGTGTCGATTAATTTTAGTGATCGACTTTTGCAAATTATTAATAATTCTTTTCGGACAAGGAGGAAATTGCATCTGGATCATATTTCTTCCGAAATGGACTTGGGAAAAATTTCTGATGCAATTTCCTCCTTGTCTGAAAAGGTTTATACGTAATTTGGAAAAGTCGATTAGTAAAATTAATCGACAAAAGTGTCTATTGTTTTTAATAATATTTGCTTAAAGCAAAGTTGCTGCCTAAATACAGAAAATGCCCAGAAATTTAAACTGGAATTATCAGAATAAAAAATAGGGATTAACGGTTAGGAGTTTTTTGAGATTCCTGTAAAATGTCGGCATAGTTTGTAAACTAAAAAAGAATTTTGATTGGCTGCGCTGATTCACAATGGCCGACAATGACATTGCAGGTTTGGAAAGAAAAGAAAAGAAAGAAAGAAAGAAAGAAAGAAAGAAAAGAAAGAAAGAAAGAAAAGAAAAGAAAGAAAGAAAGAAAGAAGAAAGAAAGAAAGAAAAAAAACGAAGAAAGAAAGAAAGAAAGAAAGAAAGAAAGAAAGAACGAACGAAAGAAAGAAAAGAAAGAAAGAAAAAGAAAAGAAAGAACGAAACAAAAGAAAGGAACAAAGAAAAAAGAACGAAAGAAAGAAAGAAAGAAAGAAAGAAAGAAAGAACGAAAGAATGAAAGAACGACAGAAAGAATGATTGAAAGAAAGAAAGAAAGAAAGAAAGAAAGAAAGAAAGAAAGAACGAACGAAAGGAAGAAAGAAAGAACGACAGAAAGAAAGAAAGAAAGAAGAAAGAAAGGAAGAAAGAAAAAAAGAAAGAAAGAAAGAACGAAAGAAAGAAAGAACGAAAGAACGAAAGAAAGAACGAAAGAACGAAAGAACGAAAGAAAGAAAGAACGGAAGAAAGAAAGAAACGAATCAGGATATGAAGCATCAAAAAGAGGAAAAAAAACAACAAAAACTATATACACAAAAAAAAAGAACATTCAAAAATATACGGAAAGAAAGAGAAACAAAATCAAAGAGATGGAATAAGAAACAACAATATATAAAAGAGGAAGAGAATGACTATTATTTCCACTATTTCCATTGACCAGAGTTCTGTCTGACCTGCGTCTGACGATAAACTGCATCCGCGTCCTGGGTAAGACGATAAACTACGTCCAACAGCAAGACCTCTGATCAGGAGGTTTTGAGGAGTTTGAGACCACCGCTTAATTACTGGTGTTCCCAGCTCCACCCTGACCTGGGGTGGTAGCACCTGTTAGGGTCCTAGCTATGGGCAAATAGTTAACACTCAGATTACATCCGCATCTTGGGTATGATGATAAACCGCATCCGCGTCCTGGGTATGACGATAAACTACATCCGCAACGTGTGTAAGACGATAAACTACGTCCACCAGCAAGGCCTCTGATAATACGTTTTTGAAAAAATAATGTTGCCAATTGTATGTTTTTGAAAAAAAATAATATTACCAGTTATACTTTTTAGAAAAAAAAAATTACCATCTATACATTTTTGAGAAAAAAAAATGTTAACGGAAATTGATTTTTGACAAAAAAAAACAAAAAATTACCAGGAAAAAAAGAAAGTTGTCGGCATTAAATGACCCATTGCGGTTGATATGCCGTAAAACAAACCAGAACAAACCAGACTGCTGTCGTCATCTTTATTGCCATATTCACGACGTTTCAGCCGCTGTACGCTCCGGCCTTCTTCAGGCGATGTCCTCGAGTACACATGGTCCGGTGGGTAAAAGCGTCGGTTGGATCCAGTGACTTGAATTAAAGAGTCGTAAGTTCAATAACTGGCTACGGCAGTGGAGAGGAAAAACTTGGAGAGTTGAGTTAAAGACATCCGGAAGGGGCATGGCACGTGGAACTAGAACAATCTACCCAGGCGCACGAAATAAATGGTTCAGTTCGAAATTGCAATCACCTGAATAAGGCCGGAGCGTACAACAGCCGAAACGTCGTGAATATGACAATAAGATGAAGAAAAAAATAAGTCCGAACAATGTAAATAATGTAAATAATTACAATACCTCATCTCAGAAATATAGATAGATATAGAATGGCTATTGTCAAGGAAAAGAGCCAAAATGAAGAAAGGGGAAAACGAAGGAAAAAATACAGAGAAATGAGACATAGAAAAGGAAAAAGGAAGAGAAGAAGAAAGGACGTGAATACGTTGAAGAAGAGATAAACGAAGAGTATCAAAGAAACAGAAAAAAAATAGAGACAATGAATTACAAGCCAAAAGAGAAGGAAAAAAAAAGAAAAAAAAAACTAGAGACAATGAATTACAAATGAAAAGAGAAGGAAAAAAAAGAAGAAAAAACTGTAATGTCGGTAGCATAGGCACAGGAATTATATTAAACGAAAAAGAATTTAGGATCTTGAATTCAGTCACTTTTATCCACTGGAGCAGAAGATAAAATCCCTTCTATCCACATTAGTTGAAGTAATCCAGTGACTTGACCCAAAGGGTTGTGAGTTCAATACCTGGCCATAGCAGTGGACAACAAAACCCTAAAAAGTTGAGTTACAAACCAGAGATATCCAGAAAAGGCATGTCACGTGGAACTAGAACATTCTACCCCAGTGGACAAAATAAAGGGTTCAGTTCGAAGTTCCAACAATTATTATCTGAATAAGGACTGAGCGTACAACGGACGAAACATCGTGATATGGCAATAAAGATGCAGACAGCAGTACGAACAATGTAAATATTACAAATAATTGCAGTACCTCATCTCGGAAATATAGACAGGATCAGTTTTCAAAAGAAACTGATCAAAAGCAGAGACATTCTTTAATAGCAACATCCTTCAAGCAATCAAATAAATCGTCTGCTAGGTCAGCTGCGAGAAAATTAGGTTCATTGTGATCTCTCGCCATAATCCGTCTTACAAATTTAGATGTCGTTCATGCATTGGATATTGCTGTCACATATTATTGGTTCTAACGTGGCATCTTGGTTCCAGTCGATTTCCCGCCACCGTAAAGCAATATATCTGTATCTTTTCTATAAATATTTAGATGTTAGTTCTTTTATGAACTTTCTTGAATTGAAAGAAGCTTTATAAATTGAAGCATACTACTACATTGGAAATAGCCAGATCTAACCGTAAGTTCTATGCAAACAGTTTCTTCTCTGGGACTTTTCGCATGTGGAACTATCTTCCAGCTTCTTTCTTTCCAGTTAATTTTGATCTTCAAATATCTAAATGCAATGTCAATCGTTATCTTCTGTCTTCATATTTCTTGTTCGTTTATTGTTCTGTCTCATTAATAAATGTTACATGCCGACACTGGAGTTTGAACAAAGATCACCAGACAGCAAACACAGGCGATCCCATTTTGAATAAGTAGAAAACCTGATCGTAAAAGAAATGCATATATGGGCAGTAATGTGGCATCTAAATGATCTCTATTTCTAGTCTATCCTCTATTACTATACGAATCGCTATTATCTATATTATTCACTATAATATTTCTCTTTTCGGATTACTATACGTGTTACTTTTCAAGCGAGTATTATTGAGCAAGTACTATCAGTGCGAGTGATATTCGAAGGCGTCTAACACCAGTATTGTTCAACGGCGTTGCTATAGTTCTATCTGCGATTACAAAGTCTCAACTACAACGAGCATTACGAAAATGACAACGAATATTCGTTGACATCACAAAAATATTTTTTTTTTACTTATATACCTTCATTCTTCTTAAAACATTGCGTCTTAGTGAATTTTTTGCCTTCATCATGCTATACCATGGATGGAGTTGCCTAATCCTAACTTTTCCAGATTAGCAGTGTTCACTATCATTTACTTGTTACTGTGGGCGCTGCATTACTCTCTTTCGGTTTATTTTTCTCATATTTGCACAAACTCAGTAACCACCTGCGTCACAGTGCTTTTATTGACTCCCTTGGGTAAAATGATCATAAAAAATACAAAGCCCGCCACAGATTCATTTTTTTTTTTTTTATCAGTGAATTGCCCTGGCATTTTGGGAAAGATATTTAAGTGGTTTCCCGTTGCCTTGCCTAAAGTTATGAATTCAAAGATTTCATTCTCCAAGGCTGGTTTCCACATGAGCCTTGTGAAGCCAGTCTACGATTCTATTTAATCCATTCCTGGGGAGGAAGGGATTAATGTTTCAGAACAAAGAAATGCAATGCACACAGAGAAAAAAAAAGAAAAGAAAAAAAAAGAAAAGAAAAAAAAATAAGAGGCATATAATTTGAGAGGATTTATAGCACATGAAGATGAAGATAAAAAAGCTTTAGCAAGAAAGTTTAACATAAGGAATGAATAAGGTGAATGAAAAAGAATATATATATATATATATATATATATATATATATATATAAAATGACTGAATATATAAAATTAAAAAATAATAATTATAATAATATATATTTTCTCTGTAAACTTTTTGCCTGATTAACCTACCTCCCCCACGATTTCAACAAATATATCTGTTGTGGAGTATTTTCACAGTGGAGGCTTGTATTTTTAATAAGTCGTCCTAAATTAGGTCCGACGTACAAAACGTTAGGAACTTGGAAAATAAGAGTCAATGGCGCAGTTGTGATGGTTGGTACTTCGAATCTCGACTGACGCGCTCAACACCATTCTGCCAGACTTGCCACTGCTACTCTTACTTATTATCTATGGGAGAGTCCATTACAATAGAATAGGTACCTAACAATATCGTCATATTTGGCTACAACAATGATACATTTGCCGTTGCAACATTCTCCACAATCGTCAATGATGCCATGACTAATCGCTATATATATAGAGAGAGAGATAGAGAGACAGCGAGAGAGAGAGAGAGAGAGAAATTGATATATATATATATATATATATATATATATATATATATATATATATATGAAGAGATAGAGTTACAGAGAGATAGGGGTTTTGTACACACACATATAGATGTGTGTGTAATATACACGCACACATATATATGTGTGTGTATGTGCTTGCGTGTGTGTATGTATGTGTGTATGTGTGTATATCGGGTACATAGCCTTACGTCCCCTTCTTAGTGAAGAGATATGCCTTTGTTATGGTAATAAGAGACATTAATCGATAGCAATAAGAGAACATGCTGTTTTTAACAATGGAATATTTCAATCTAGTATTACAATGCATGTATTTCTTTTGTTTCGTGTTTCGTTTTATTTCTATATTTTTACTTTTAATGATTTGAAATGTAGAAGTTTTCCTTTGAGTCGACAACAGAACATATCATACAGATAAAATAATCCTAGATTATTCATGCCAGAAATGTGACCAATACAATTGGAAAATTACTTTAATATGGCCTCCATTTTTGACAGTACAAGTTGTATTGACATTCTATCGATTTTTTTAAAAACTTTCACTGATTTCAAAAACAGTTTTCACACCTGCAAAATAACTTTATTATGACCATCCTTTTTGCTAGTATTTTTGTATGTGTTGTGTACCTTCAATACGCGTGGTCAGGGATCGCCACAGCTTCCTATTTCTGTGGCTCTTATAGAGTTTTGTCATTATATAATATTTCTCATTTCCTTTCTGCCACCTGTTTACACAAATTTCTTTTCTGTATCCATATTTCTTGATTTCAGCATATCCAAGGCCTGTTAAATTTTCCAAGCGCTCTTTCCTCTTACATCTGTTACATACCTTACCTATGAACACTAATGAGCATGTCCTAAACTTCATAAATACGTTGGACACTATAGTAAGTGGGGATAATATTCTGTATAAGAAGTGCACCACTAGTAGTGGTTTACCTACTTCATGCTGCTGGCGAGTAATTATATTTTGTTGATGTTATAAAGATTACCATTTCATTTCCAACCTCCGTTTTGGTTATTCCCGTCTCAGTAACACTTTCTAGGTTACAATAGAAAGAAAGAAAGAAAGAAAGAAAGAAAGAAAGAAAGAAAGAAAGAAAGAGAGAAAGAAAGGGGAAGTCAAGAATAAGAAAGAGAAAAGAGAGAAATGGATTGATTTGTATTTAAAATAAATAAATAAATAAAAAATAAAGAAAGAAAGAAAGATAAAAGAAAGAAAGTGTTATATGCCGTACGTATGAACACTAATGTCGCAATCCTTATAAATAAGCTGTACCCTATTGTAAGTGGGAATAATATACTGTCTAAGTAGTGCACCGCTAGCAGTGGTTTATCTACTTCACGCCGCTGGCGAGTATTGTATTTTGTTGATGTTATAAAGATTACCATTTCATTTCCAACCTCCGTTTTGGTTATTCCCCATTCAGTAATCCTTTCTAGATTACAACAGAAAGAAAGAAAGAAAGAAAGAAAGAAAGAAAGAAAGAAAGAAAGAAAGAAAGTGGTATATTGCGTACCGAATAATAATAATAAGAATGTCGAAATCCTCAGAAATATGTTGGACATTATTCTAAGTGGGGGTAATCTGCTGTCTAAGTAGTGCATCACTAGCAGTGGTTTACCTACTTCAGGCCGCTGGTGAGTATTTTATCATGTTGATGTTATAAAGATTACCATTTCTGTGTCGCTCATTCTGCAATCAGTTACAACACTTCTCAGGTATTTAAATTATTGTGATTACTTGATTTGGGTATCGCCAATTAGTAGCGTGTATATTGCGTTATTTTCCCTCCTTTTAATTGATGTTTAGTCTTTTATTCTTACTTTAAATTATTCCCTTCTTTAGTTCCTGTTCTTTCCTTTCTCTGTCTCGCATCAACATTGTGTCATCTGTATATATTATATGGTTAAGATTGTTTCAGCCAATCATAAATCCTGGTAGGACTTCTAGTTCATCCGGGACACCTTGTTATATAGTTTAGATTTTCAGCAGTACAAATAGATTTTATAAATTTTTATTGGTATTTATGTTTTTACATGGACGAAAGAAATCTATCTGAAGCCTCGTTTAAATAAGCTATTAATATGTTAATTTATAAGCATTATTTTGGCTATTAATTATGTAATCAATGTATTACTTCTGAGCCAATACGAGGCATAAGAATGCAAATGATTCTTTTGTTTTGTTATTGGGAATAAAGATGTAAAGAAAATTATATCACTTTTGTCATTTCATTGTTTCTTTCTTTCTTACGTTCTTAAGCATTTGTTAGGCGGGAAATTTTCGAAAATAGAATCAAAATGAATATCAAAATTGTAATATTACGTATCGATAGAATTTAATTTCATTCTTGTCCTTTATTCATTGGAAGAGTAAATAAAATTTTAAAAAAAGAAAGAAAGAAAGAAAAAGAAAGAAAGAAGGAAAAAAGAAAGAAAGAAAGAGTAAAAGTACGGAGGAGAAATGAGAAAAGCAATTTGAATTAGAGAAA